AGTGAATACTGTGGACACGAGGACGTCGTATCGTATCGTACGTTGGACATGTTGAGCGTTATCCGTTACGCAACTTCAGAATGGCTGAATTCTAAAACATTTGTAATTTGGTAGAATAGGTACTATGTATATTTAAATGTGGATTGTTATAACAAAGAAATGCTATTACAAAACATTCTTCCATGAAAATAAATATATACGTACTGGTAATTTATCCACAATCTAAATTGATCGGATCTATGGTCAGAGGATGTGAGAAAAAAATATGTATTTTTTTGTAAAAGACGGAACAATATTATCGATTGATAACTATAAGATGAATAATGTAACAAATTGTAGATTGTTTAGAATATACATAGTTTACAAATAATGTAGGAGAAAATATAAGTTTTTGTTGGTAACATGTTAACGAATAGTTAATTTAAAACTGTGACCATCATTGCAGTTGTTTCAATATGTTCTGCCAGCACTGTTGTCAACAAAATGGAAGAGTTGCAATGGAGTCACATAACGCTTTTTTACATAACTACTATTTTTAGCATTACGTCATTAAATTAAGGAGGGTTCTCTTATTCTAAAGTTTTAGAGTTACTATAACTTGACGACATTGGGGGCAACACCGCTGAGGTCACCAAATTATAAATAAATATGTCAAGTGTTATGTTCAAATGGAGAAATATTTATGTGGTGTTGCATAATGTTGCCGAGCTATATCTAGTTTAAACAATGATTATAAACATTATAGTTGAAACAATGACATAATGAAACACAAAAATATGATATAAATTATATTTACCATGTATAAAATGATATGTAAAGTTCTGACTTATTCATTCATTAAAAAGTGCTTCTTATGGGTGTATTTAGATAACTAGGAGATCGTTTTGATAATTATTGGATAATGTTATAGAGTTAGCTTTATGTATACATAGATACATATAATAATAGTTAAGGCGGCACTGTGATGCCACATTGCCAATTTAGATTGTTGGTGCGCCATATTGTATAGTTACAAACCGGTAACTGTGATCATTGTGTACATACATTCTGTGACACTGACGACGTCTCCTTTTGTCTACTGTCGTTTCTATAAATTAAACTTTCCAGAAATGTGGGCCAAACGTTTGTAAAAATCCTTTTTCGAAAGACGTTCCTGTTGCTAATTTTATAATTGCCGAGGAATTAGAATTCCCTCGTTGAATGATCGCTTTATGAATTGTTTTGTAAACTAGCTAGCAGTTACTTTCGACCCCGATATTGTATAGTGTTCAGACTCACCTTCGCTCATTGTTGACAATTGAATGTGTGTAAAGAAAATGTCAATTCTATTTGTAATGACTTAGTGCCTAAGTGTGTGTGGCAGGATTGTAATTTGTACACTACAATGATTCAGTTTTTCTTTTGACTGATATTAGTGCGGACTTTAGCGCGCCTTTAGAGTAGCGATTACAGTAGACAAGATGTAAAGAACACGATAGATATTGCTTCAGAACTCTGATGAGATCTCCCACATCACAGTACAACTGACAATTGTAATTTTTTATCCAAAAATTGCTGTATAAACATTGTCTCATGATCTGGAGATTGTAAACTTGTCAGAGTTATTTGGCAGTAAAAAAAGATAATTTTTATACGCCATAATAATAAAAAAGGGCATTCTCGACATTGCCTTCATAATACTCAAGTTTATTTCATTTTATAAAATACCAAAGATGCCATGATTTTAATGTAAATTATTTATTTATATATTAGTGTTTGCTAATGACGTAATTACTTAATCAAGTTGTTATTTTATATAAATATAACTGCCAATTTGTATACTTATTTTATAATTAACCAAAGCAACGCACAGATTATTTTTTAAATTAATTAATCCATATGAAATGTAGATGCTTTAACATGGCAGAATTGTTCGGAAAATATTTATGTACGGCTATGAAAATGGCAACTTGGAATACGTATTTAATCTCTAAGCTTGCAGTCCTTAGTAAGTAGTATAATAAATATTTATCCTGTTACAGATTGTTGATTGTATTTATAGTCCGTTCGTTACAAATTGACCTTCTGACGACTCACGTTGAAGTTGTCGATTTATACGTGGGGTTGCCACTCAACTTTACAAAATCAGTACCTCAATGTTGCCATTTTCACAGTTTGTAATGAGAAAATTAATTAACACGTACATACGTAAGTGAGGCTAGTACTTGTAAATAGCAAGTTCTGTAATGTAAATTAGTTTTCGTCGAGTAAATAATTTAAGCGTTAGAGTTTAAGCGCGAGACATTTTTGAAAGTGAATTGTTAAGAATTGTTTTTGTATTACTTATAAATAATATTGATGAAATGTACAATAACCATTTCTACGTTAAAATTACTGAACCACCTTTTTATACTCGTAAAGTTTAATTGTAATCATAAACATGCCTAGAAGTTTCTTGTACTAAGCGTAAATATTGATTTATAATATATTGAAAATTATATAGATCGTATCGTAATGTAGAATAATAATAGACAGCTTAATTTTGGTTGAAACTCGAAGCCTTAGTGTTAGAAATTGAAGACTTTTATTGAAATAAAGGTATAAGTAACAGATTGGATTTAATAAAAACAATCCGCAACTTTTATTAAAATATAATATTAAGGTATAACTCGTTACGTCACGTTACTCTCAAACTATCCATCACATAACTATTCTATGTTATAGTATCTATGTAAATATGGAAAATGAGTTCTAAAGACAGGCGGGTAAGCGCCACTTTTCACTGAGACATGGTATAAAGTTTACCTACGCGACACGCTACTCGTTAAGAATTTACAGAACGTTAAAGTATACCTTAATAAATTATATTCACGTTTAATAAGTATTGCCTTAGTGCAACATTAGATTATGCCACGACACTCAGTGAACTGTAGGCCAATAACATAAGGGAGTAAGTTTGGTTTCGCTGCGTGCAATATTTTTCTACTTGGAAAGTTTTCTCGGAATTCTAATTTCAAAATTATACGTTAAAATTTTAAAATTAGAATTGATGGCAGCGCATTTTGTGTTTACGGCGTTAAGATTTCTTTATCACAAAATGTTAAGGTAAATAATACGTAGGTAGGACAAAATTATAATAACTAACTACCTAAGAAAATAATATAGGAATAATGAAAAATATTGTTACCATTTAGAGGCATTTATTATATTTTCATCAACCCATTCGTTCTCAGCAAAAAAATCAAAGCATTTTGTGATAAAGGAAAGCAAGACGGTATAATCATGAAGTAACTATGGGAAGTGCCTAACTATATTACCTAATCGCACCGCTAGTACTACGGACCCCGTTATTTCCCATGAACCGACCATTATCTCATAATCAGATTTATAAGCGTTAGTTTAAATTTAATCTATGTTTTGTCAGCTATGCAGTTGTTATTGTTAACAGACCGAATATAGCTTAAAATTAAACACTTATCTTCCGTGCTAAGTGATAGTGAGTTTCTAATAGTGTGCCTTTAGTATCGCATAGTTACCGCCCTTTAGAAACTCGAAAAAGAATATTGGAATAGATCAATCAATTTATTTTTGAACCTCATAAACAGTTATACTTCGTACAATTTTACTAGTAGTCATAAAGTATACGTCATCATTTTTACAGATAAATTCACTTAATACATTACCTGTTATTCCAATTCACTATTTCTATACCTGATGATAGTTTGGTAATCTATTATAAACCTATGATTATAAATTACCTTTTCATTCTCATTAACTCATTACATTTTTTGTACTAACCTTTCATTTGCTCTTTTCTCCTGCGACATAAAAGATGTAGTCTCTGTTTTGAGACTAATCTGTGTTTTGTCTCTTAACAAACTCTAGATGAAGGCGAAATATTGTTTACTCTTAAAACAGAGTCTAATTTTAGTTTCTTTTAAGGCATAGGTTTAAGTAGGGGTTTTATAAATAATAATGCAAACGCAATTGCAGTGATAGAACTGTTACACCTTATTCGCTGCCCGTATTTATAGAGTGCAATTTTTTTATAACTAGAGACGAATAGATTGTAAAACATTGATTTGCAAAATATGAAATAATGAGCTCACTGAAGCAAGGTTTTATATTTTACTCTTCATTGTTTGAAATGTTATGATCATTTTCTCATTAAAATATTATTAATATTATGCTAAATATTTTAGCAAAGGATAAAAATGTATTCCTTTTCTTTAGTAAATAAAATATTGAAACTCGAGCCTCTTTCTTTCATTTATCTCTGAACTATTAACTACTCTCCTGTCGTCCTAATAATGTACCTACCTAATAAAAAACGATGAAAAGTAAATAAAAACTTATCTCTCTGCCTACCCTTTTAATGCATCGAAGCATGACGTTATAATAAATGTTCCTAAGGGAATAACCCTACATATACACAAAAAGTTCAATGAAAATCACCGAAACCTTCCAAGGGATGATAGGCTATAATTCTCGAATGATAGCGAAACTTAGCGACAGTTTTATCGTTATCGATGTTGAGACTACCCGTAAAACCATTCTGCATGTCAACCATGTCATGTCAAATTGTTTGATTTGATTCCTGCCGCATCTTTTCGCCATCGACACTCACGGCAGCATATCCATCCCCATCATATTCTCTCCCAGCTTCTCACGTGGCTTTCTGCCTCGCTCAGCAAACCTGTGGAATGTTGTGTCGTCGGCAGTATTTCCGAAAGGATACGGCCTTCAAATCTTCAAGAAAAAACGGTATTCCTTTTTAAAATGTCGGCAACGCACCTGTGGCTCCTCTGACGTTGCGGGTGTCCATAGGCGGCGCTGATCGCTTACCATCGGGTGATCCGTCTGCTCGTTTGCCTCCTATTCCACAAAAAAAAGCCATACAGAGCTTTTTTTATGTAGTCTATGGAGCATGACAGTGACACAAAATTGACGTTTAACTGACATTGATAGGTACTGTCAACTGTCAAACTGCTATTTATTCATTGAGTTTGCTAATTGCTAATCTATTTCACGAAAGCCATGTGTGAATTGTTTACTTTTATTATTTAAAATTACTCTGAAAATATGGAAAAGAGCGTAGTGAAATGCTTTGCGGTTAATTATAAGCCTATAATAATAGATGAGATCGCGTTAGAAGGCTTAGAAGGTATAGGAGTTGATTTATTATGGAGACGAGTACAAAAACGTATTTCTTCAGAATTAACGGAGAAAATGAAAGTTCGTTACTGGAATTTTATTGTAAATAGTGGTAAAGTGTCTTTCTACCAATTGCCTGAACCTCTGCCTTACCTGGAACTACTAGATAGATTCGAAATTATTAACGAAGCTACCGGCCACTTGAGAGAACCTGTAAGTTTCTTTTGATATGCCATATTATCTATTATTTTTGATAGAAATTCGGATATTATAAATTACTAATCGGTTTGGTTCCAAATATTTGTTCTATTAACCATTATTATGATTATAATAGCTCCAAAAATATTTCATGGTGCTTAATTATTTTGCATTAGTAAAAGTAATAACTTTACTAACTCGTTTTCTTGCTACCCTTTCACTAACCTATCATTCAATAATAATTAAACTGTCAAACAGAGCGGTCACCGGTGACCGCAACCTATTATTCTTTAATTGTGTCTATAATGACGGTACTCAACGAGTTAATAACATAGTACCTCCTCATATAAAATGAAATAAATTAAAAACAAATGTTTCAAAATTGCAGGATGTACCAATAGACGGTCCCTATGAATACAAGCCAATAGAAGGTGAGTATGGGTCCTGTAGATACTATGAAACACGGACATTAATACCCATAGAGAACCTAAAGACAAAGACTTATGAAGCTGTAATGTTGGAATATGGAGACACGCTGATAATTGTTGCGAATAAAGAAGAGAGATGGTATGCACTAGCCCCACACCAGCCAATAAGTAATATCGCTCAGTTAAGTAGTATACATTACTGTATGTTGGAGCTGATTGGGCGATCTAGGGATAATGTAAGTATGTAATAAATAATAAAATAAATAAATCTTTATTCAGAAATGTTATTGGACACAGATACAAAAATATTCCTTGGGTAAGTAAAATAGATCACACATGGTTAGGTTAGGTTACCAAGATAATCCTGTGTCAGGAGAGAGTGGGTCTAACATAATTATAATTTTAATGTAATACATACTATTTAATATACATACACACATATATAGCCTCACGCCTTATACTCCCGGAAGAGATAGGCAGAGGTGAGAATAACTGTTTCTATTGCATAAACGTGAAACCTCAAACGTTAGCCCACCAAATATAAAAAAAAAACCTCATGAAATTCCCACGTCGGGGGAGCGGGTGGGACTCTTACCGGCTTCAACCAACGCGGTGTGCCACCATTGCCTGTGACCGTAACCCGGATTACCCTGACGGAATGATCACACCCGGCAGGCCTCGACCTACCGCCAAGTTTGCGGCAGGTCCCGCCACGTTAGCCGTCTTGGTAGGCTGCTTCCCTTCTTCGAGTAGCGTGCGTGTGGAACACTACGCTAACCTACACTACGCCTACGCTGCCTATACAGTGGATGTCTGGTTCCCCCAGTCAGTGGCTCGCAGGTCTCTCCTATGGAGGTCGCAGATCGGCTGCGGCCTCGCGGCGCTGACGACTGGCGCGTCTACAGCGGGAGGGGAGAGAACTTGACGATTCCCTCTCCCTTTCAGCCGCTTCCTTTGCCAAAGCCGGACGGATCCACAAACTTCTGTGAAAACTAGTTCACAGAAGTATGCGGCTGCGTCCCATGGGCTCTCATTGTCGACCATAGCTTGCACAATGGTCGACAGTAAGAGGTTTCTCCCGGTCGAGTTCTGCAATGAGCTCACGGCGCGCCACTGCAATGGTGGTTTGGAGGATACGGCGATGTCTTCTCCTGGCCTATGGGAGACAAGTACTTTTCAAAGCAGCCATGTTCGGAAAGCACCTGCGTCAACCGGAAGCTTAGGACACCATGCCCGATGCCGATCCACGCCTCCATGACGAGATGTTACCGCCGCTATAATGGCGTGCACTGCGCTAGATTGCGCAACTCGTGTCTTCCACCCCGCTACTATGTCACGACGGAGTTCTGTCCGCCGTGCCTCAATAACTCGAGGCGGATATCGTTCGCCTCAGGCAGCCAGCTTCCCGCGCCACCTATAAGAGAACCTATGCTATAAGTCCCGGGTGGGGTTCCAGCTAAGAGGCTGGCAGCCTCAAAAGAGACCATGCGGTAACCCCTTATCACTCCGACGCCCATCACGCGCTGCGGACTTCGTAGTAAGGCGGCGTTGGGCGCCGTTAATCCATCCGCCCAAACTGACCCATAAAAGGGCCATTGACCGCACGAAAATAAAATTGTATACTATTATCAATCACAAGTAATTTTAAGTTTTAATTTTACTTGCTCTAACAAATTATGAATTATAATACATTTCACATTATAATAAATCATTTCTTCCAGGGTCAATCAACAATAGGCCGAACCAATTTAAATAAAATCATAAAAGATCCTAAAACTCTGTTCTATAATAGGAAATATTTAGGAAATCAGGACTTGATCAAGACAAATATTGTCACTGAATCAATAGCAGGGAAAGGATTTAAGGCTCTGTTGGTTCGATTGAAGAGGTTCAGCCAACCAAGTATATTGACTATGCCCAAAGTAGGCATACTACACAATGTAGTACAATATCTTTTACAACAACCAGATTTCAGCGAAAAAACCGAAGTTATAGTCAAAAAGGGTCTCATATCCCAGAAACAGAACAAGAGACTGCAGAAAACTGTTAATATTTTCAAGTTTGTAAGTATCAATTTGTATTTTTTTTAATATTAAAGAATTTAATTTCTTACATCTATATTTCTGGAGAAAATTAGGATAAATGTAACAATATTTAGACAAAGACTGCATGGTTGGCGCGGTGGCTGGGCAACCGGCTGCTGCGCAATGTGTCACGGGTTCGATTCCCGCACGGAACAACTCTGTGTGATCCACAGATTATTGTTCCGGGTCTGGGTGTCATACTGTCATATGTATGTGAACTTGTATGTTTGTAAACGCACCCACGACACAGGAGAAAATCCTAGTGTGGGGCAACGTTTATTTTTGAAACATATTGTACACTAACTCAGAAATTGTAGTGTGTATTCAAAAATAGCTCTTTTCACATAACAGGAAGAAAGAACTATAGAACCAGATGAAACAAACAAATTAAAGACAAGTATCAAAAGAAAGTTTATTTACCTTTCATCTCGTAATGATGAGTCTTCAGAATCCGAAGAAGAGTCACAGGGACCTCCGATGAAGTGTCAGTACAAAATTGGTGTGAGCCTTTTAAGACAGGCATATGAAAGATTCCTCGATGCAGGTCTTGAAGGTCTTACGCAGGTCCAATTAGGCCAGCAGCTTGGTGTGGAGTTCTACACCAGTCGAGGCATCTGTAGGATGTTCAAATCCAAGAATATTGTTCGAGAATATCTCGAAGATAAGGGAAAGCAGAGAACTGCTAGGTAAGTTTTTTGAAGTTTTATTTTCAAAACGAGTGTTTATTTCGATATTTTCTGCATATCCTCACATATTATATTTTTTAGTAGGTAATAAGTAAATGTTCTTTACACTTATTTTGTTGACAGTATCTATGTTTTTAATGATTTTTGTATACATTCATAAGATGCGAATAGGTAAACAGAAGTAAACATATTAAATTATTGGATAATTCCAGATTTATTGCTAGAGCTGCCACTGGAGAAATGGATGTTCGATATTCAGAGGAGAAACAGAAATTCCTGGAATATTTGAAAGAATCACAAGTACCAAAAGAAGATGTCGAGCCTTCTGAAGATGAAGTACCAGCTAAGAAAATTAAACTGGAAGATAAACCTTCTACTAGCAGTACTGATGTAACAGGCCAAAATTCTGACGAAGATATCATGGCCGACGTAGATATGACCCCAGAAAAAGTAATCACAGAAGTAAAGGTCCTCGATGGCTTTGAAAACACCAAAACCCTCGGAAGCTTCACAAAGAACCCAACCTTGAGACAATTGACTTTTGCAAATGGTGTGTTCAAAGTCCTCAAGAAGAAACAATGTGTCAGTGGCTATATAACACTCAGCAACCTCACTTCCAAAGAAATTAACGAGCCCCCTATGGACACAAAAGCCCTTAAATCATTTGTACAGAAACTGGTAACCGACGGACATATCAAAATTTATAAAATTAAGTGGCCTGGCATTCAAAAGTATTCGGTCTTAATTTGCGCTGCTCACGTCAAAGCTACAGATCCCATAATAAAAGCCAAGTACAAAGAGATTTGTATGAGGGCAGTGACTAACAAAAAGGTGTCACTCAAAAAAGAAATCGCAGAAAACGCTTCTCCTTCTATAACACAATTTGCACACCCACGATACATGAAAATACAGAAGCTTCATGAATTTCTAACTAAATTGGCATATTTTGAGCATGTCAAACCAGAATCGCATTCATTACCTGCAGGCTTCGTCAGCATAGTTGATTTCATACAGGAAGTTACAATAGGGTTCGCTATCCAAAACATGGCCAGTGCTATAGAAACGAACCCGCTGGTCAACCAGAACCAGCTGGATATCAAAATGAAAGATGCTCCGCCACATATTTACAAAGCTCTGATGAGATCTTGCACATTGCAAAATGCAATAAGACTCAATTTAAAAGTACTTGCAATGCTGGGCCTTATACAACTGGTTCGCCCGTCTAATCAGACGACCAATAACATGGGCGCTATAACATACACAAGTTTCCTTTTCTATGTAAATCGTAACGCCAAAATAATAGACACGACTGGCATTTGGCCCAGGGTAACAGATGAGAAGATCAAAGAAAAATCATATTATTTTGAAACATTTGAAGATGTGTCTAAGTATTGGCTTGATGTTTTTCAAATAAGTGTTAATACGATTATAGAGTTAGAAAAACGCAGCAGGAAACAACTTCAGCCGCCGCAGCGGTATGAGGACGAGGTGTTTGCGCACGATAACGGTGCCCGTTATGGTGACGGCAATGGACCATGTGGATTCGACTCCTGCTTCTACATGGAAATGCCTCGACTCTGGCAAACGTACTACGTGCGACCCATACAGTCTCATAGCTCACCGAAAAAGGGGAAAATTCAAATAAAAATCCCCAAACTAAAGACAAAGAATAAAACAAAACGTGAAACTAAAATTAAAACTACTTCAAAAATAGTGGCCGAGAGACTAGCAAACGAAAAATTAACTCGTAAACGAAGTGACACTACAATAAAATGGTCGAAATCTGAGGATTTGATAATAACTATATGTAAAGCTGCTATAACAATACTGAGTCCTAGTTCACAACCCGGCACTTTGATTGTAAGAAACATAGTTGCCAAAGATATTCTCTCTATAAAGGACCCGAAAAAGACTAAAAGCGTATGCCATAGTAGGGCTTCAACTCTAGAAAGTAACTTAACACTCATTCATGAGAAGCACTGCATTATTAATGAACTTAAAAGAAGACGGAATCTATTACAAAAATATGAAGGATTGTTAAAGAAACTAAGACTGCGATACTCAACGAACATGACAAAGTTTATAAACAAGGCGCGCCTACCGATGATGGAATTAGTTTGGGTTATATTACAGGTGATGCAGTCTAAATCATACATACAAAAAGTGCCATGTGTAGCATCGAACTTAGCAGATTTCTACGAACATTTCACGATCATAACATCTACTGCCAATAAATTATGTAACATGTTCAAAGTGCCTGAACATGTCACTTTGAAAGAGGCTGTAGTACTCACAATAATGCAAACAATAGACTCAGAAATCAGTACAGAATTGGGTAAAAAGATATATAAAACGTTTGAGGAATACCCTGAGGCTGCTGTAAGGTCTGCTGTAGAACAGCTACGTAAGTGCGGCGCCATCGCGGCTAAAGAGAAAATATTTAACAATCAAATGCGCAAGCTTGATTTAGAAGACATTTGTCAGTCCTCATATAAGATATCCGCGTTCTATCAACGTAAATGGGTGAGCCGATTGAACTCAGAATTTATAGATAATTTGAGTACTTTGTTGGATGTAGAGCAAACGGAGAGTGATGTTAAAGGGTCGGCTGAATTAAATTGTTTGTACTGTGAGATGAATGCGTACGACATTATAGACATAGTGTCGACCAGTGCGCCTCTCATCACAGACGCTTCAGGGGCACCCATTATGCCTGAAGAAATAAACGTACTAGTCATCGACTCTAAGTACCGATTGAAAACGGGAACCTTAAGATGGAAAAACAAATCAAATTTGGCTAAAATTTCTGAACTGTTTAATCATATGGATCTTAACCATAGCTTGAAGTATTTATCCAGGTAAGATCACTCTTTATTGTTGACTTGCGACCCGCCCCGACTTCCCACGGGTGCAATATACACGTCTCATACATATAAACCTTCCTTAAGAATCACTCTATCCATTAAAAAAAACCGCATCATAATCCGTTGCGTAGTTTTAAAGATCTAAGCATACATAGGGACAGACAGACGGCGGGTAGCGACTTTGTTTTATACTATGTAGTGATTTCTGTTCAAAGAAAATGTAACATAATAATTTATATTTTAATTATGTGTATTATCAACATCTACCATTTAAAAGGGACATTAATCACTTAGTTATATTTTTTATCATAAGTATTTTGCAACCCGTTTCCTCACAACTTTACTGTATCCATTTCTATACTCTGGCTACTTTGTACAATAAATTAAACACACAAACCTCTTTCACAGTTACACCACAGTGGATTCTAAGGAAATTAAACAAAATGTTGATAAAAGTGATCCAATACTAAAGCGTTTGGATGAAGTAGGTGAAAAAGGAGCATCATTTGCTGAGCTACAGGTATTTTAAAATAATGTTTACAATATTGTGTATCGTAGTATGTTTGTTTGCGGGTTTTCCAGTCTTAAAAACGCAGAGGACGGAATAGATCTAATTCCTAAAGACCCCACAAGATACCTAAGTTTTTAAAACTCTATTATAACACGGAAATTATTTTTGTTTGATTCTGACGTGTAATGTAACTGATACTGATATGTATCTAAAAAAGAATTCGTGTCACTGTCTTTTTTTTTTCGATTATTATTATGATATCATAAGCCGGTAAACGAGCAGACGGATCACCTGATGGTAAGCAATCGGCGCCGCCCATGGACACCCGAAACACCAAGGCGTTACAAATGCGTTACTGGCCTTTTGGGAATTGGGAATTTGAGGATTGTGGAGGATTCGGGAGACTAGGGATATAGGGGTAATTGGGCCTCCGGTAACCTCACTCATGCGACGAAACACGACGCAAGCGTTGTTTCACGTCGGTTTTCTGTGAAGCCGTGGTATCACTCCGGTCGAGCCAGCCCATTCGTGCTGAAGCATGGGTCTCCCACACTTTTAACCTGTTTAACCTTTTAGATACTATTTCAAAGTAATTACAAATACATTTTTACAGAAACTCTCCGGAATGGGTGAGAAGGAGTTGATCGAAAAATTGCAACAAATGGAAAGCAAAAAAATGTTGAAACGGGTTGGCTTCTATGAAAATCTTTTAGTGCTAACCAAATATTTAGCACCATGGACGATAAAAGTAGGAGAGAAACACATAATAATAACTCCTTGGCTAACTTTAACGGGTAAAGCAAGGCCGGATATATTTTTCAAGTGGTGCAGTGTTGTTATGAATTTAATATTCGAAAGACCTGGCTGCTCAGTATCCTATTTAGCTGATAAATGCGAGTATTTAACGTACCGATCAGCACAAGATGTTTGCATGTTCTTAGAAAAATATGAATGTATAAAACTAGCCATGGTAAATCTCCAACCAGTGGATTTATTTTCGGATGAAACTTACGATCCTGAAATGGAAGAGTTCAATCCCTATGGAGCACCCGAGAAAATGATAGCACATCCTATCAAAAATTGTCTAACAAAATATTGTTATATTAAGAAAAAAGTATTAGATTTGGAATCAAACGACGCTCTATTGGATAAGTTGTTTAAATGTTAACTCTCGTAAAATATATATTCAGTGTAACTAATATTTATTCAAAATAAAGACAATTATTACCTAAGTCTGCATTATAGTCGCGGAGAACCTAACGGGTAACCGGGGCTCCGGCTCGACGTGCAGGAGAAGGAACGGGGTGGTTTTTAGTCAGTAAGAGTCTGACACTCCCTCCCGCCTCACCCAGGCGGGGGCAGTCATTCGACGATTTTCGCCCCTTAAAAAAAAAAAAAAAAAAAAGTCTGCATTATGTTTTTATTAATCATGCAATATCATGCACTTCTAATAGGGGCAGAAACCACATAGCGCCAGTCCTCCAGCCGGCATCACCACCATGTAAGATACAACGATGAAATCATGAGTTCCACAAAACATAATAATATGTTACGTTTCTACAGATGTTACTAATTAACATTCGTTTTGTTACTTCCTTGGGTCGCGACCCGTCCACTCACTGGACTTCCACTTGTAGGTTAACGGGTAATCCGGCACCCCTCGACCCATGAGCTTAGTGTGAACTGAAGATATCAATAAAATTAAAATATTGAAATATTAAAAGAAAATATTTTGCTTACATATACTGTTAACAAAGAATCAGTAGTATTACTACACCTCTAGATAAAGTCCTCATATCTCGTAACGAATACGTAACGCGAGAGGTCGCCGTCGTCGATCACATCCCTGAGGCCCTCAGAGGGCATGGCGGTGCTTAGCCTATGCAGGGCATGGCCACCGTATGTTTGTTACACTTTTTTTTAAGGGGGAAAATCATCGAATGACTCCTCCCGCCTCACCCAGGCGTGTCAGACTCTTATTAACTAAAAACCACCCTGTTCCTTCTCCTGCACGTCGAGCCGGAGCCGAAGATTCTCCGCGACATGTTTGCTACACATAATAGATGGTTTTAGTACGTATAGGTACTAAGTAACCGACTTAAAAAAGAGGGGATTGGAGTTGTTTTTTAAAAGAATTATTGTTACACAAGTCACAAGCACAACTTACAATAAGAAAATATTAATTATTAGTTTACAATGACCAAATCCATAAAGTGCAAATGAAACTGATTAATGGTAATACAACTAAAAGTACTTAAACTGTCAAACACCGCGAGGACACCGGTGACCGCAACCTATTGTTCTAATTGTGTCCAAAGAGTATAACGAGGGGTAACGGGCTATTTGGTTTAAGCGACATTTTTGCAACTTTACAGGAGAGCCTTTTAAAGTTTGAAATTTCGAAAAAAAATTCATAACAAAAACGCTTCTGCAGATATTTGAACGGGGTAAATTGCATTGAAATTTAAATAAAAATATCTAGTTGCTGATGCTAATTCCAAATAAAGCGGACCTTTAATTACAAAGATAAATGTCGCTTAATACAATCTGCCCTTTTTTAGAGTCAGGAAAAATGATTTAAGTGACTTCATAACTACAATTGGCTACAAGGGAAAAAAATTAAGCGACGATGCACTCTATTTACAGAGTAAGCCAAAAAGTATGAAGTAACGAAACCCAAAATAAATAGAAGCAAGCTATTTATCTCAACTACCAATTTAGACTAAAATGAGTAACAGGCTAATTTACTTATGTGACATATAACATTGAAATTGTATCGTTAAATGTTTATGTTTATTTACATCTAAGACGATTAATGGCTGATAAAACAACCTGGATATATCGAAACAACCGAAAATCTCAGGTGCTTACATCGGATAAATAAACACAACACAATATCAAAGTATTTATTTAGATTAATAATAACAGTCTGCATAGGAACAACGATTATATTATTATTTATTCAGCAAAATCAGATAAATTAATGGGTTATTTACTGAAATTGCCGTTTTGTATGAAAAAATTTAAACGATTTTTTTCATGTATTTTTTATTTGTATTTATCGAAGTAATCACCCATGTAATCAATGCATCGTTGCCAACGCAGTGGCAGTTTATTGGGCATCAATAAACTGCCACAAAATACTTCTTAAACAAATCAGCTGGACGGGTGGCAACAAATTCTTTAAATGCATTTTGTACTGCCTCTCGGGTAATGAATTTTTTTCCCGCGAAGAAGTTATTCAAATTCTGGAAAAGAAGTAGTCTGGTGAGTAGGGTGGATATTGGAGAGCTTCCAACCCCAGTTCTTGTAACTTGGAGACCATCTGTTGTGCAGCTTTAGGTCGCGCGTTGTAATGCAGGAGCAATGGAGATGAGCGATTGACCAGTGCTGGTTGGAGATGTGTCAGCTTCTCCATCATTGTGTTCAGTTCTTCACATTACACATCCGCAGTAATGCTCACTCCGTTTGGTAAGAACCTGTGATGAATCAGACTGGCGCTAGACCATCAGTGACCATCACTTTTCTAGGAGTAAGTTTTCGTTTCGGGTATTGTTTAGGTGCTGAACTAACTACTACTACAACTATGTTGAGCAGTGCAAGGCACTGCTCGATGCATACTTAGCTCTGGCGATCATTGAGTTTGTGGGACACCCACTTGTCAAGTTTTTTTACCTTGCCAATTTGACGTAAATGGACCAATATTGTTTTGATGCTAACGTCGAAAGCTGTTGCTAAATCAGCCGTAGATTGTATGTCATCAGCTTCCACAATAGCCTATTGTCACCAAAGTCTTCGGACGACCGCGAGGTTGATCTTGAAATTAAAGTACTTAGGATTCAATTTCGATGAGCGTTTTACGTAAACACTGGCGGTGAGTGCGCGTCCCGTCTGTCTTCGACGCATTCTGGAGTGACTGAAGCGCCAGCGCACGATAGTCCAGTTGGATGATCACGATTTTTAACACCCGGGCGATGAAATAAATATAGTATCATATGACATGATTGAAATGTACCATATTAAAATTTAGTGATTTAAAGACCGATTCATATTTTTATGAATACTGGCAAAATGTTTCAATATCCATTATTAATGTTATCATCTGTATAAAACGACATGCATTTTAAAAAAAAGGAGGGCTAAATGATTTATGACTAAACAAAATATCTGAACGAAAACGACTATTTGGTTTAAGTAGCACCCTGCGTGGAAAATAAAAGCAGCTAGAAGTGTTTAAGAGACGAACCATGTCGTATTTGGGTGACGGATAAATGTTTTAAGCGACAACACACCGTGTGATTAGTGGGAAGTCAAAATGATTCAAGTTACTTGCTAGTAAAAATTAGAAACAGGAAAAACGCTTTAACTCATTTTGACTTATTAATTAGAGATAGGGTGACTGGTTTATGTCTCGGTTATTAATATGATGGTATGGTTCAAGTACATAATTTAATAAAAAATGCGAAATCCATGTCGTTTAATACACTGTCACTTTGGAAACAACACGAAAATAGAATTGTTTGAAACGCCAAAAAAGTGCTCCGATTTTAATGAAACCGGCATCAATCGACGGAGAAAAATTCGCTGATTCCGAATATATATATAACTCAATATCGCCCAAAATGTCGCTTAAACCAAATAGCCCGTTACCCCTCGATAT